TTCAAATTTTTGGATACATGTATGGATATCTGTATATTTAAATTTCAAACAATTTTTTTTTGGAATTATTGATATTTAAATATTTCGATTCACTTTATACTAAAAATGATTAGACAACAGAATTTTGCATTTTTGTTACTTTATAACAGGTCAAATTTTAAAGGGTATTTGGTATAAGTCCCAAGGAATATTTTTTTGAGCACATTAGACCATATGTAACGTTTGTTATTTATGATATCGAATATTACGACAAAACTAATGTAACCCTGGGTGATATGGTGAAATTTGCGTTAAATTATCCTTTAAAACGACCAGAACAGAACAGAACAGCATAGATACGAGAAGGGAACCGAAACATATTAAGTAATTAACTAGAAATACAATTCGGTAAAACAATCGAATTCCAAATATAATATAAGCAAAAACAACTGCTTTGCTATACTTAGAAAAAAAACATAAAATCAAAGATCTTTTTGTTAAAGTGTAATAAACCTATTTTAATGCTGTAAGTCGATGAATTTTCTGTTTTGATATGTATATGCATTTTTACTACCTCAACTTTTTTAGTTATTTACCCGTAAATACACATAAATTATTTTCTACCTTAAATAAAGTGAACCTATTTTTATGTACTTAATCAGCATCTTCACTATTTATCAGTTTATTAAATAAATAATAAATGTATGATTTTCAGGTCCAACTAATATTCAATTTTAAGAACAGAAAAGGTGTAATTATGAAATACTTAGTGGATATCGGTAGATGTCAATATACTACTATAATCTATTTGTTTAATAGTAAGTATAAATATTCAAGCAATGGCTCTATAGGTGTTGGATGTAATCAACATCAAGGATTAGGGATTTACGAAATTCCGAAGTAACCAATTATCCGAAACATTCCCAGAACCTTTCAGAAACAAATAAAACTTTATCGGTTTTTCTGTTTCTAATGGGTTCTGAGAATATTTCTTATAATCGGCAACGAAATGATGATATTCTTTTGGGTTCAGACTCTAGAAAATCAACAGAGAAAAGTGGCGTGATTATTCACATAAACAGTGGATAGACATTTTGCAGTTTTATATAGATAACTATACAAATAAATTAAAAGAAAAATAGTGATAACGAGTTAATTACACTTAAACCAGAAAGTGATAATTTTCTTTTTGGTTGTGAATTAAAAAAACCACAGTTGTTCTGAATCAACCAATAACAAAAGAATTTTAGCAGCATTACTCGAAGTTGAATATGTCAATAGAATGAAAAAGTTCAAACAGAAATCAAACTTTTTGTCTATATGGCAATAACGGAAACTTAAAGATGATCTTTCCTTCCGATTGAAACAGCAGAAGAATACAGATGGTAATTTAAAAATTGCAAACAACCCTCTTTTCAGATGTATAATGTAAACATATATACATATATTATATGTAATTTCCAACCGCGGGATTTTCAAGACCCTTTTCTGTTTATTCTTGTTAAATAAACACAGACTTTCTTTGAGATTATTCAAATGTAACAGCTTCCATTCGGTGGAGTATTTTCTTTTTCTTATTTCTTTGTAAAGATGTTTCATCTCTTAAATTTTATCTAACTGATCGCGTACAACGGTAAATAAAACACATGGCAAATTCTTTTGAACCTTCAGTTTTTAAACATGTGAAGTAGAAAATGTCACCAACTAAAAGAAATCTTCAACATAAACATAAACTGCGATTTTTAGAGATTTACAATTTTTTAGATTTACATGATCCCTCGTTTTATATGAGAAGTAAAGTCTGCTATAACACTAAATTTAACAGAAGTATAAAAGGAATTTGTTGATAATCTTTTTTTTTCGAGTACCGTATGAAAATAAACAAAAGTAAAACAAAAATACTGGTATGCAAGGGAGAAAAAGTAGAGAAAGGGCGAATATAAAGATAGGAGACGAAAAATTAGAAGAAGTGGTCGATTTTAGGTATCTAGGAAGTTAGATAAGTCAGGACGGAAGGAGAAGTAGGGATATAAAGCAGAGGATTGCACAATAAAAAAAGAAATCACTTCTATGCTCGCGAACGGTTAATTTGGAAATTTACATTTATATTGTTAAAGGTGTATGTGAGAAACATGGGACGGTGGGCGCTGCGGAAAAAAAAGGTTAGAAGCGTTAGAAATGTTGTGTTACAAGCAAATGATGAAGATGCTGTGGGTAGAAAAGGTTAGAAATGAAGATTAGATAGAATAGGAGAACAGATGACTGCATGGAAGTCAGTAAGAAATAGGTGAGATAGGTTGGTAGGACACCTTCTCAGGCATGAAGGTCTAGTCAGAGACATATTAGAGGCAGAAACGGAAGTTAGGAGGGGTAGAAGTAGACCTAGATTAGATTAGTGTTCGCAAATAGTTAAGGATGTAGGCTGTTCTAGTTTTAGGGGAATGCGAAGATTAGCTCAGGATAGGAAAGAGTGGAGGTGCGTGTCCAACCAGTCTTAGGACTGACGACCTTATGATGATGATGGGAAATATTAAAATTTGAATTAGAAACAACCTAATGACACTGTTCTCAAATTAAAGTTTTGTTTATGTTTTTAATTTCGCTGTATATAAATTGACAAAACCTGTTGCCAAACTCAATGTACATTTAATTTTTGTTTTATTCTAATTGAATAGATAACAAATTGTTTAGTGAACTTATCTTTAATGGAATTTAAGGGAACATAAGCTCATATCTTTCCCTGGAGCACCCGCTGTAGACTACAACAACGATTCTGACGCAATGTGTACAACTTTGTCTAAATAAATCTTTTAAGTAGCCTTCGTAATTAAAAACAATTCACTGAACCATTAAACGCAAGGTTTCATGCAACAAATATTTTCCGCCCCACATACTGCGAGGGTCCATAATATCTCATGCTTACTTTCATTTTCTAAACATAAGCGAAGGTAACACCTTTATTATCTCCTTCATTTTTATGGATCACACATACAAGCATAAGGAATTACACGCATACCTACTTTAAAGCAAGCGTCAAACTGAATAGTCTTGCCAATTTTAGATTAAAATAAAGAAATAAAAACCAACCAGGGAAACAGCGTAAAAGATAATCACAAAAAAGCACATATGTATTCCTATTTGCAGTTAGATTTTTAAACAATTATTCTGAATATTGTTTTGGTGTATATCCATCAAAAAATAATTACAAATAGAAAACATTTAGAAGCTTCAGTTATCCATATAGAATCTACTATAGAAATCAAATTTAATTTTGTCTAAAAACAGTATAATATTAAGCGAATAACACTTTTACGTAGTGGAATTCCATATTTTCACTGCAATCGTTTATTAATGATAAAGAATGAAAACTAATAAATTGAATTATACCTAGTGTAAAATTAATACCTTCATTGAAAAAACCTACTTTGATCAAAACCTTGTAACTTGTAATTAAGGTGAAACGTCGGTGGTCGTTATTATAATAAAAAAACTTGTTACCCTATATTTGTCTTCGAGTTTATACATTAATTGGAAAAAAGTAAGGAATAATAGAAGCTAGAATACCACTAACATTCACGAAATACATTAGAGAATGACGTAAACGATATCATATGTTTCACCTCACAGGGGTATCTTCAGAATAACAAAATATGTTTTAAATTAAGTATTTAATTCGAAGTTTACAATTCTTATATCTCGTTATGTAGGTGAAGATAAAAGATATTTAATAATGTTGATATCTGTTTACACTATTTTTATATCTATATGTGTTATTTCTAATGATTCTAGTAGATTTAATTTAATTTACAACCATTTTGTGAAATATGTAATTTCTGTAATGGTTAGAATA